ATATACCTATAATGCAAGTAGGAAAAACTTTCAGAGATCCCCAGGGATCATCTATCTATGCCAAAGCCCTGACTCTTCTGAGGTACAGCTCCACAGCTTCTCTTACTGGCTGTAAATAATGATGGGTTTCTATAAAGAAGGGCTATAATCTGAGGATAAACCAGTATTTACCTCTGTCCATCAGTCCTCAGTACTTTTCAGGATTACACCTTTCTTTCAAGCACTAAATATATCTTCATGTAACAGCACATTTAACTTCTATTTCCTATCTTGCCTCTCTACACTTATGTACATACATTGCTCTAGAACTGTTTGAAGCCATGGAGAAAACAAATCACTGCAGATGAAAAGGAAGCAAGATGTGCTTGGATGGGTTGGTGGAAAAAAATATGCAGCTTAGATAATTTCACAAAAGATTCTGTCAATTGTCCCTTTTTCACTGAATTTTTTACTGAATCATCTAAGGGATATTATTTAGCTTCTTGGAAGTACTAATTCAACAATGCAAAGTGTGCAGTAGGTTGAGCTTCCTCAAACTGCAAAATGAGCTGAGCTTTATATTCTCCTATTTTAACTGATCTCTGTATTTCTGAAATGAAGAAGAAGAATGTTATAATGTTAGCTAATTGTGTGCAAATTTAATGCAGAAAGGAAGAGATACAACACACATACCCTTTCCTTAAAATCTTCCCCTGAGGGATGACTTACTCAGGAAGATCACAGCAATACAATCTAAATGGTGACACGCAAAAAAATATTACTCCATGTTAAATGATTTTTTTACATGTCATCTGCACTGCAATGCGATAGTACAATACACTGTAATGCCGATGGCAAATTAAATAACTTTATGCTGGTAGGACAGGTTCTTTCAATTCTAGAGTGATATCTTTCTCCTTTTCTGAAGGAAAGTAAAAAGTAACTACGAAACTGTCTCTCACTTTTCCTGTGGACTAGCTTATTCAGCTATTCCTCTGCTCTTCCTAGATGCCAATCCAGCAAAAGTACTGATGGTTATTGCATCAAAGAACCAGCATATATGGTCTCATCAGAGATTCTACAGCAGCAGAGAAATATGTAGGCAGCAGGGATTCAAGCTAAAAATCCTGCAAGGCCTCATGGAAGCAGATGAAAATTTCTGTTTTGTAGCCACAAACACAACATCTTCTCCAAAAGTCACTGGAAGTCCTACTTACTAAATTTGACAATCCCCAAGTATGATACACAGTCCCTACACTTTTTTCCAGAGTACACATCTATGGCACTTGCCTTCTCATTCAGTTTCAATGAAAACAGCACTACTCCAGGATAACAGACTCAACTTTTGCACAAGCATCATGTCTACCACTTATTATCACCAATTTACTGCAACTCGGAATAAAAAAGCCCAAATCTTTAAATTTGTTGTACAACTGGGAACATATGGAGTTTGTTACATATACACATATCACAATACATTTAAATTTAGCCCTTGCTATCCAACCCCATTTATTCATACATTTAAATTTAGCCCTTGCTATCTAACCAAGTACTCATTGCTCTCAAATAGTCTAATTTATTAGAATAATTACATTAATCCCAGTACAACTATTGCCAGCATGTGTAGCCTAAAAACTGTTGCTTTTTTTCTGACCTGAAGTATTAAGAATAATGCTGCCTCATAAAAATGATCTTAAGTACCTCAGAAATATTATTTAAACATCAAAAACCCTGTGAGAGAGGACACTCACATACTAAACAAAATGAAATTCTCCGAAGCAGTCTCTGCACTTGGATGCCTCATTATTGAGGCACAGAAGCTCTAACATTTCATAATATTTAACTGCTCTTATGAGAAAATATGTATCAACTAAAGCCTAGCAATATTGACTAGGATATCTTACAAAGCACTGCTGTAAAGATAATCAATAAACATTACCTCCACGCTACGGCTGATGAAGCAGAAACAAAAAGAGCAGATAAGTTGGCCAAGAGCACAGGTTGAATTGGGACCAGAGGAGCACCAAACTCCAGACAATCTGACTCAGCATCCTACTCTGCCTTTCTCAGAGCATGTGGCTTTACTGCAGCGATAGCTGCCAGATTACTTCAGTTAGAACTTGGTACCTTTAAAAAATAAGCAGGCATTCAGTGCCTCAACTTGGAAGCCACAGAGGAGTGGTTATCTATTTTCTCCAGTGGTGATACACTCTAATATTTTTTAAGCAATTTGTCCAGACTCTGCAGGAAATTTAATGCTGAGGTGGGCCTTATTTCTTGGATGGTATTTACCTGTTCAAACAATGACATGGCCTTCACGCTGGCCTCAGTTCATAGGCTCATTCAGCTAGCCCTAATACACTAAAAAGATACTGATTACAGAAGATTCTAAGAATTCACATCTTTCCACAAATCTATATTCTGAGAATTGGCTGATATGTCTTATATTTGTTTTTAAAATGAAATGAAAAGCAAAATGGAAAATTAATTACTTAAATGAAAATAACATGGTCATGTGTTTTATGTTTCTTACAATCTGTTCCCAGCACACAACTTTAATCCAAAAGCATCATTTGTTTCTTATCTGAACTTCTCCCATGAGAAGAAAAACATTAATTTCTGAGAAGCTTCTAGCAAGCAACACACCACTTGCTGCTACCTCCAGTGCAAGATGGATCACTTGCCTCCTGATTCCATTCTGTTCTCTTGGACAATCTTTTTCACCAGGTTACTCTTGTTCTGTGCTTTGCAGTGTTTAAAATCAGGCAGTTTGACTGGACATATTTGAGAATTTGCTCTTTCAACATATTGCTCTGTCTTCTAATCTCCTGTGCTCTTCAGAGCTTCCTTAAATGTATTTAAGAAAGAAAACTGAAGAAAGGTGACTGTGTATCAAAAGCAGCCACAGGCTCTTCCTCTCTCTCCATTCATTTCTCAGATACTGAGCTGCCATCTGTTTGTTTTGCTGGTTAAGGGTTTTTTTTGTTTTGTTTTGCTTGTTTAATAATTCTTTAAAAAAGCCATCTGAAAACTTAAGCCAATCAACATTTTAGTGTATAACTTGGCCCACATAATTATTTTTACTGAGATAGGCTCTAAGCAAATATCAGCCCTCCTGCTGTGGAAATACTAACACACAGTTAATCCTGTCTCTGTGGTAATAATTATGTGTCCAATTTGGACAGCAGCTACAACAACTCATGGCACACAGACACAAACCACAACATATTGTTACAGCATCTCCTTTAATGTTCCCAATTATACAAATAAGCCAGTCACACAGTAATACCACTTGTTCTGATGGCACAATAAAGCCTCCCAAAGTATATGATTACACCAGAACAGCTCAGCTAAATGAGTTGCTTAAACACACCACTGATTCAGTGAAGGTTGCATTAAGCTAAGCTATTGCTGCTCTGCAATACATAACCATATGCTTACGTTCTTCTTGCTTGTCATCTTTCCCTATTATCATTTTAAAAACAAAATCCTAGTTGCAATAAGTCTATGAAAAATCAGAACCAAATACTTGATGGATCTAGTAGTAACATGATCATCATGAATGTGAATTAATCTCTAAAACATAAAAAAAAGGGGAAAATAAACTATGTAAAGTCATATCTTTCTTCAAAATGCACTGCCGAACATGAATTGTAAGAAAGTATATTCTTAAACTGTTACAGGAATAATAGGCATAGAAAACTGATTAAAATTTACAAATACGGCTCTCTGCATTTTGATTAAGAGAGAAGGCTCCAGCAATGCAAAGACTTTTTCTGCAATGCACCAGATGCTAATTCAAGTGCAGCAAAAAACCTAAATTTTTATGACAGCTTAAACTTTGGCTTACTTTCAGAGATGACAAATTAATACCAACCTTTTACTCATGTGGAACCTGCTTGTTATATGTTGCACAGAGACCACCAGTTAATTCAGCATTCAGACATGTTTACACCTACCCACCCTTCATTACATTGCTGCATGCAAACACTACTGAACTTTCTGGACTAATGAATGTTTTAAAACTAGAATAAACTGAATCAAAACCACACACAAATAAAAATCATACCCATATCTCACAGGCAGTTTCCTTCCCCTCAAATTTATCTTCCCTTCTTAGAAACATGAACTGCTCTTCCTCATCTCTCATTTGCCCAGGATGTTGTGGATGCCCCCATCCCTGGAGTCATTCAAGGCCAAGCTGGATGTGGTTCTGGGCAGCCTGGTCTGGTGGCTACCCTGCACAAAGCAGGGGGGTTGAAACCAGATGATCATTATGGTCCTTTTCAACCCAGGCCATTCTGTGATTCTATGATTCTATGATTTCTTTTGTGCTGCTTGAAGTTTCTCAGACCATTACTAAGCCTTCCTCTTTAGTCTCTCTTCATGCTTTCCACCATCTATTTTGTAACACGCAAAAATGGCCATGGTAGAAGTGATATATATGGAGTTCTAAAAATAAGTGATGTTTCAGCTGGTCCTCTGGTAATTTTGTAGGGGAGAAAAGCCTCCATGAAACATTTAATCTTACTTGAATGTGAATCAGTGTTTTAATCTGTTTCTGAAAAAAATAAATTATATGATGATATTTATATTTTGAGCAAGTCAATATACTAAAGCAATATGTAATCAAAGAAAATTTGAATGACATAGAACCCATTTCTTTTACATAGTGGAAGAAATTTTTGTCTAAAATGCTTTCCCCAAATCCAGGTCCATACAGATAACACCAGATGAAGACAGAAGCAAGATCTATAGGAACAACAGATTCACAACAGAATACTGTTACCTCTAAAAGCTATTTTAACTATGAGGAACATAAGAATCCCAGTTAGAGAAAATAAAAAGGTTAGTGAGGTCCTTAATCTAGTCCATTCCCTCCCACTAAGAAACCACATCCAAAGGAAAGAAAAACAGGAAACCCCAAACATATCCCAAAGTAAAAAAGAAAAACAAACAACTAAATGGCAACAACAACAACAAAAAACTGTAAAAACAAAAACAAAACAAAAAACACTTACTGTCTTCTTCAACTTTTTGATGGCGTAATGTTTCTGGGTCCCTTTCTGCCTGCATCTGTAGACAATGGATGTAGCCCCACTAAATCAAAAAAAAAAAAAGAAAAAAAAAAAGGAAAAAAAAAAAAAGGAAGAATAGTTGTACATACATCTCTTTGAATACGTCAATAAACCGATTTCCCTAGCTAACATTTTCTACTTTTCCCACACTAGGTGAAAATACCTCATTTTTTCCGCACACATGGAACAACAACAAAAAAAAACAACAGTGAAACGTGCTCTCTATGAAACCAGTGCAGTTCAGTTATTATTCAGGCAATAGAACTGCAAGTGCTCAAGGTGCCTCTTTGCCACACCTATGGCTCTCGGCACACACTGAACATCACTGTGGCAGCAAGGAATATCAGCTGGCCCTGGATCCATGAGACACTATCTTGTTTTTGTTAAGGCCATTTGCAACAATTAGTTAAGGCAGATTTTTTGTTTTTTATCGTTGTTCTTTATTTGTTTTTCAACCACTGGTAGCAAAGTGGAGACAGAAAAGAGGAAAAGTACTGTGGTACTTCCTGCCCAGTTGTCCAAATAGCCAAATATGGCAGCAGATGAAGCACGCAGACTCTGATTAAGTCAGAGTAAACTAAAGAGGTTTGTTCAAAGCAAAACCACACAACTTGGGTGTAGAGCTTCAGGTCCTTTTCAAGACCCACCACACGCTAAATAAGAGCACTCATAATATAAAGTTATGGCACTGGTATCTGGGAGACGTTTATCAGAGTGGGAAGTTGGACTACATTCTCCAGAGATCAGGACAGGGTGTCTCAGCAGCTTTATTTGTTACTTACAAAGTACTACCTTTGTATTCTATGAACTAACTAAACAGAGGAAAAACCTCTGGCTAAACCATGTTGGTTATAAACGATTCAGATTATACTCTATAACATTTGTGTTTAGATACCTCTGAACAACTCAGTGTCAGCCAGTAGTAAAATGGATGGATTGAAGTGCTACATCTCAGCACAGTATTTAAGGCCCTCTGAGACCCAACAATAGCACTGACTGTATGGGCCAAAGCAACGAAGTCTGTCCTCAGGAGACATATCATGCTTTCTAAGATCCAATAATTAATTCCAAAAAGCTGGTGATTTTTAAGTGAGAGGGGACTGGCTCTTACCATACACAACTTCCTGAGTAACATACGCCTTGGAAGTTCATATAATACACACCATACAGCCAACTGTACTGCACATAGAATCACAGAGTCACAGAATGGCCAGGGTTGGAAGGGACCTCAAGGATCATGAAGCTCCAACCCCCCTGCCACATGCAGGGCCACCAACCTCGCCATTTAATACTAGACCAGGCTGCCCAGAGCCCCTTCCAATCTGTTCTTGAACACCTCCAGGTACGGGGCATCCACAACCTCTCTGGGCAGCCTGTTCCAGCACCTTACTACTCTCTCTGTAAAGAACTTTCCCTTGACATCCAACCTAAATCTCCCCTCTTTCAACTTAATACCATTTCCCCTCGTCCTGCTATTATCTACTCTTCCGAAGAGTTGATCCCCCTCCTGTTTGTAGGCTCCCTTTAGGTACTGAAAGGCTGCAATGAGGTCACTCCTCAGCCTTCTCTTCTCCAGGCTGAACAAGCCCAGCTCCCTCAGCATGTCTTCATAGGGGAGGTGCTCCAGCTCCTCTCTCTCATCTTTGTGGCTCTCCTCTGGACCCTCTCCAACACCTCCCTGTCTTTCTTGAACTGGGGGCCCCAGACCTGGATGCAGTACTTCAGATGGGGCCTGAGGCAAGCAGGGTAGAGAGGGGCAATCACCTCCCTGTCCCTGCTGACCACCCCTCTTCTGATAGAGCCCAGGATACCATTTGCTTTCCAAGCTGCAAGCACACACTGCTGACTCATGTTCAGTTTTTCATCTACCAGGACTCCCAGGTCCTTCTCTGCAGGGCTCTTAAGGAATGCTCCTTCCAGTCTGTATGGATACCTGGGATCCCTCCCTCCCAATGCAAGGAAAACCTTGCATCTTGCTGTATTGAACTTAATTACACACGTCTCTTCCAACAAGAAAAAACCCATGCCATCTATAAGAGATGGTCAAGAATAGTAGTTTGACACAAACAGCTTGCTTCTGTAGCCCCAAGGTCAGCACAGGAGGACGCTAGGAAGCTTCCTGCTGAACCTTGGTGAGCCTTCTTCTGAATCAGCACATATAACTTTTCAGAGACTGTATAACTTGGAGGGTCATAGTGATTCAAGACTTCATCACCAAAAGCAGTAGGAAGCTTCACTGGCAAAAAGCTCTGTGCAACTGAAAAGCTCAGAGAGATGGTAACTGGAGTAATCTCTTGCCTTCAGCTTTAATTGTTCAGCATTGGACCATGACTGCAAACAGTAACCCCTCAAAAGCTGGAATGTAATTCATATCAATGAAACATTTCATGGACATGTTTTGCCAGGAAATAAAAATGTAGAAAGCAAAAATCCTCATGGCAACATGCACATTACTTTCTGCAAGCATTCTCCACTACATCTGAATAATACATTTTAACAGTGCTACAGAAGAGAGACCATCTATATTCAATGGCTTGGGCACTTCTGTGATAAGCAGCAGGTACCACAACTAGGGAATATTTAATCCTCCAGCAAGAATAGTTTCAGCAGAAGAAACTGAGAGGACTTTAAGCCCAAGCAATTGGTAATCACTTGCAGATCCACACAGCAGAATGTGCTACAACCATTTCCAACTCAGAATAGAAACGTGAAATTAAATTTACTATACTCCAGATGAGACTGACCATAAGAGTACTCACTATATGGAGTTGACATATTTCAAATTAATCCTACCAATTCTTCCCTCTTCATAGTTAGTGAATATATACATACATATACATGCATATATGTACATATCCAGTCTGTGAAACTGAGAGAAAAGGCACAGTCACAATCAAATACACAAAGTCAGAAATAGTGGTGTGAACGCAGATGGAATGCCTATGAGGGACATAATGGAGACAGAAGTGTTGAGCAGAATTTGCACCTAAAGGCAATAAATGATAAAGTATATTTTGCAGATCAAGGCTTGGACTCATGGCAGAAAGAAAAGCCAAAGCAAAAAAACACTCAGAATTTGAGCTGGGTGAGAAAACACATCTTTCTCTCCCAGCTCAAGAAAAAGCCCTTCCGCCTCTGAAACAAGAGAACCAAAATAAAATAGTTGCACATTTATTTGGTCACAGGTAGTCAGAAAAGATAAATTCCTACAGCTGCAGTCTTTGTAATGAAAGAAACAGCACTGAGAGTATTTGCACTAGACACAGTAAAATTGATTATTTTTTTTTAATAGGTCAGCATTGCCATACTGTGCCACTCTGGGTTATATTCTGCATTTTGAATCAACTCAGTACAAACACACTCCTGCATGTAATCTCCTCTAAATTTCATTTGGATTAAATTCCTTAAGTTCTGAATTGATTTTTTAAAAATAAATTAGTTTGTGCTTCATGCAGTCAAAGAACGATTACACGATCTAGTTTGTCCAATTAAATTATGTGACAGAACGAACATTCTGTGGCTATGAAGCCACAGAAATCATTGCTGTCAGCACCACAGTAATACTGAAGTCGTGTTGGTTCCCATGGAGAATACTGAATTTTTATGTAGCCTACAGAGGTATGAAGCTAAAGTACATGATTTTTTTTCTTACAAATACAGGATAGGAGGATCAAATGATCAATGAAATTATTGTTGCATGACTTCAAAATTAAACTCCCTGTTCAAATACCAAGATTGCTCAGAATAAAAAAAAAATGCCATAGAAAACTGACAATTTCACAAATTGTCTTGGGAGTCTGGCAAGGTCCCTGCTGACTAGAAACTAGCCACTTTGCTGATAATGTTTAACTGGGAAATGTTTTAAACTCCCCAGAATGATGAGAGGCCTTCCAGAGACATCCAGACAGGTTGAAGCACAGAGCAACTAGAAACAGCGGGAAGTTCAGCAAAGGTAAATGCTGGGTGCTGCATATGGGACAGAACAATGTCAGACAAAGGTACACACGAGACAAGCAGCTGGAGAGCAGCTCAGCAGGAAGAGACCTCAGGGTGATGCTAACAGCAGCTCAGCATAAGCATCAGTGTGCCCTGGAAGCGAGAACAGAAATACCACATTAAACATACCACAGCCAGCAAAGCAAAAGAGGAGATTCTCCCACTTTCTTAGTGATTGTGCCTTACAAGGATCCAATGAGGGAACTACAGGAGACCCTATTGCTCTCTCCAGTAGAAGAAGAAGAGGCTTAGGGGAGAGCCTATTGCTCTCTCCAACTACCTGAAAGGAGGTGGTAGCAAATTGGGGGTAATCCTCTTCTCCCAGTTAACAGTGATGAGAGGTAATGGTGTCAAGCTGCATCAGGGGAAATTCAAGTTAGATATTAGTAAAAAAATTGTCTCTGAAAGGTGGCAGTGCATTGGAACATGCTACCGTCCATTCCTAGAGGTTTTCAAGAAAAGGGTGGATGGCACATTTAGTGACGTGGTCTTGAGCAGACACAGGCATGGGTTGATGGTTAGACTAAATGATCCCATTGGTCTTTGCAACTTTAATGATTTTATGATTCACAATGAGTATTATATGCTGTTCTTGGCTCCACAATATAAAAAGGATGATGAGGCCTTTGCAAAGGCAATTCCTAGTTAAGAGCAACTTCTAGACTTACTTGTTCATTGCTAGGAAATGCCACTGGTGTTGTGAGAGGTCACAGATGAGTTCATTAGCTAAAAGTAATCTGTGGTTGGAAAAGATTTCAGCAGCTTCTCATTCCAGTGTCTCAACAAATGCGCTTAGTTTCCTGATGAAACTAGTCACTATTTGTTACCATCTGCACAACACAGGTTTTAAAATAATATTTACACTTCCCATACAGTGATTAACACAACTAGCTATTCCAGATCCCCATATTCTTCTTCACTAAAAGCCTCTAAAATTTTGGTCCTAAAGAGGGAATACAGCATTCAGCACATTTTCTGTTATCAGAAAGGCCTAATGGCATTAATATTAAAATGAAAAAAACAAGA